TTTGAATCGCAGTGGATTGCATTTAATTTTTATCCCCGATTCAAACAATCGGGGTTGATTTATTTCCACTTTAGTTAAATATAGGATATTAAATATAAATTCTAGGTACATTATATTTTATTTAAAGCGAATGCAAACTATTAATCGGTTTTTATTTCAATCTATCAAACATCGTGTTTTATTTGAACATAAATTTATGGTAGGTTATGTTTTATTTGTTGGATTTTTTTTCTTTGAGATTTATTATAATGTATAGAAAATGGAAAACATGTGAATTAATTTTTGTCGTTGGGTATTGTCAAATAGAAGGCTGGAAAAATTAGGAACCTTAAGAAAATAATTTTATAAGAAACGATGTAATATAAGGGAACGATAAATTGTTATCTGATTCTAAAATACTTTCCTTTTATCTTTTTATTATTTATTTATTTTATGTCTAATATAGTATAATCTTTAACTTCAAAAAACAAAAAGAACATGTTATCCATGTAATTTCTTGATATATTAGCTAAATTAAATTTCAAATTCTAAAGAACATTATAAGACTTTTTTTTTTAGAAATCATTTTTAAACTTCGAAGTCCGAAATTTATTTAAAAAAAAAAAAAAAAGATTTTCTAATTTCAAGTCCACTCGAGAGAAACAAATTATTTTCAAAAATTGTATTTGTATGAAATATAATTTGCAGAGTGGATCTTCTTAATTTATGATTAAATAGAAAATGAAAGTTTCGAACAATATGAAAGATCTTGCAGTTCCGCAAGAGTGTATATTTGTCGCAGAATGTTTTCGAACAGCGTCGAACGCGATTCCGGGTTGAATTCACCCCTTGTTCGGAAGGCTGATCGACCTCCCTCGGTGACCGAGTGACATTTATCCGAATAACAAGCGTCTATATTCGCATTGCCAGGGCATTCTCGCGCTACCTAAATCATTCACGAGCTCCTGCATTCAAATCGTCGATTTTCTACTCCTCTCATGCCCGTTTATTTTGATCGATTGTCAATTTTCTTGATCACGATCACGAGCAGACGCGAGAGGATTCTTCGTACAGTGTTTCTAGTGCGTCTAGTAAAAAAATGGTTTTTAATTTGACTGGACGGCGAAGTATTGGGAAATTGTTCGCGGGGGAAAGATTTGAAATTTGCGAGAAATATGGTGCACGAGAATGGAAATGCTGTTACAGAGTTACTTTTATTCCAGACGATACAAAAACGAACGGGATTTCTCGTTTGAACGAAAAGTGGGAGTTGTTTGAATTTCTTTTCATTATTTTTTCTTTTCTTTTTTTTTTTTGTAAAAGGACCGTTGATTCCTTCCGAAAGAATTTTTGTACTGAATATGACATATTTCTTTCCCTTGCTAGTGTTTAATCGCTTGTTTTATGGACTTTGAATCGTTTGAAAAATTAAGAGCCTCGATGGGATTTTAGAATATAAAAAAAAAAAAAAA